GGGGGGGGCAGAATTTCTGCCTGGGACAGGAAATGTGTGTACTGCCTAGAAGAGTAAAGAACAACTGACAATTACTGGACCTTGATACCAAGCAAACCATCAGTTTGACAGATTCTTTCTTCCTTTTTTAATTTGAAATGAGAATAGGTCCTTGTGACAAATAGCTGAATGATCGGCCAAAAGCTTACCTCCGCAACCATATCACTGAAATCCTCTCTCTGACGTCTGAGTTTCTCTTCTTCCCTCGCTTGCTCATACCTGCAACACACAGGGATCTCTTATTAATATACGTGCAAAGAAATGGGAGCAGCCTAACGACAACAGAGTCCTGAGATGACTTTGCAAATACCTCCCTTAGACAAACACCGAGCTGGGTAGCACCCCGTACACGTACGCGGGTAGTATGCATAAGTACCCAAAATCGCACATACGCGCACGTAAAAAGAAAAAAGATAAAAAAGATCTGAAAAAAAAATACGTTACCCAGAATAACAAGACAAGACAACTTTTGCTTGGGAGTCATCCCGGAATTCCCAACCAAAAGTTAAAAGTAAATAACTATTAACAAAGACTTCCAAACAATAAAAAAAAAAAAAACAGTTTTTCAATTATTACAACCCGGGTGGCCAGTGTTTGGGTACGGCCGAACTCCCAAACCCAAACGTCCGAACGTTCACAACCCCCCCTGGCCGGTGTTCGGCCAGACGCTGGACTTTTCTTTCCCTTTCTTCTGTTTTTTTTTGGGAAATCCATTGCAAAGGTGGTGTTCTGTATAGGTGTACATTTGGAAAAAATAAAAAGGTGGGTTGAGGGGCAAGTTGGCCGTCGAATGACTGGCGGGGTCCCGCATCATGAGGTGTGTGTGTGTGTGCCTGTGTGTGTGTGTGTGTGTTTGGGGGGGCCGAGCTGTATCCACGCACGCGCACACGTGTGTGTGTGCGTGCATGGGGGAAGGGCTACCCGTCCCCCAGCCAACCAACCAATCAATCAATCAGCCAAACGAAAGTTTAAAAAAAAAAGTGCACTCTCGTTGTGTGCGTGTGTTGTCATATTCACTGTGTGTGTGTGCATGTTAGTCAACATCCTCGAACTCTCTCATTCCATCCTCATACCATCACAACATTCCATAAACAAAAAAAATTATAGATTAGCAATATAATAATAGGCGTAAGGTTCCCCACGTTTGTGTGGTTGAGCGGGAAGTGCCCACAAACCCGTCTGCAGCCGAAGCGACGCACTTGCACAAAATATATATCGTCAAATAGAATATATATATATCGTCAAATAGAACTGCCCGGTAAACCGTAGGCAGAGAGGGAGAAGAGGACAACAAATGAGGGGCTGTGACAAACTGTTTCGTCGGAGTTTCACCGACTCATATATATATATATCGTCATATTGTTTATTCAATCTATAAAAACAAGGGGAAAGGGCAGAAGACACAAGGCTCCACCAGCAAGAAAGCACCGACCAGAGGCAGCATACTCTGAAAAAGCCCTCCGAGTCAGCCCACAAGCACAGCAGCACTGGCACTCCTAGTCCTCACAAACAACCCACTCACGTCACTACTATCTCTATCACTCCATGGCTAGGGGCCCGAACCCCGGCCTGAACACCCGAATGCTATCTAGCCTCCTCGACCCTTCGGGAGGGTAACACTGATTACAATAATACTTATGTTTTTTTTTATTTTTAACTCTAGTTTGGTTGGGAATTCCACAATGACTCCCAGGAAAAGTTCTTTGGATTGTTATTCTGCATAACATATATTTGTTTCAGAATTTTGTTTTAAAACTTTGTTTTTTCCTTGATGGAAGTTGATTGAACTTTATTATTTATAATTAGTAATTACCATACTTGCGGCGCATGCCGTGCGCGGCGTCTCATCACATGCGGCACAGAGCGCAGACGGCGCACGCACGGCATGCGGCGCATCGGCCAAAACAGGGGTCGTGGAAAAACAAAAAAAAGTTTGGGGGGCGGTGGGAGGCCCGGAGGGATACCGGGGGAAATTGCCTCCGTGGACGTGTAAAAAAAAATTTCGGGCCGCGCAGAGGCCCGGTAAATTTTTTTGGGGGAGATCTGAGTAGTTCGTTTTTGAACTACTCAGGCCTCCCCCACGCCGCCCATTGGGCACCCCGGCACTTCACCGACCCACCAGTTGCCCCTCGTCTCCTTGACGGCCATCGTGCCGTCATTCGTTGTTGGTCGTGCCCGCCCGTCACCAGCAGCACCAGCCCGAGCAAGAAACAGGAGGCAGCTGGAGCAGGCAGCGGGAGCGAGGAGGAATCACCGAGCCGCTTGAGGAGGGTTGCCACCAGCTCTCTCTCTCTCTCTCTCTCTCTCTCTCTCTCTCTTCGCTCTTCCCTTCTCCTCCTGTCTCTGTCCTTCGAACACTTCACCATCCAATTACCTTGGGTTTTTTTTTTTTGCCCTTGTTACGTTAGCAACAGGGCCTTTCACTCCGCGCGGCACCTCCACCCCTCCCATCCTCCACGCGTCGACTGACTCGACTCGCTGCCCCCTCTTTCCTCCTTCCTTTCTCCCTCCTCCTTCCTCCCTTTCTCCCCCCTCCTCTCTCCCTTCTTCGTCATCCATCTCTCCCTCCTCCTCCCTCCCTCCTCCTCTCCCCTCTTTCGTCCTCTATCTGTACCTCTCTCCTTCCTCACTTTCTCCCTCCTCCACGCAGCACCTCGCTTCTCCCTCCTTTTTCATCCTCCCTTTCTCCCTCCTTCCTCCCTTCTTCTTCGTCCATCTCCTCCCTCCTCCATTCTCCCTTCTTCTTCATCCATCTGTCCTTCCTCCTTCCTCCCTCTCTCTCCATCCATCCGTCCTTCGAACACTTCACCATCCATCTGTCCCTCCTTCCTCCCTCTCGCTCCATCCATCTGTCCTTCGAACACTTCACCATCCAATCACCTTTTTTTTTTTTTTGCCCTTGTTACGTTAGCGACAAGGCCTTTCACTCCACGTGACACCTCCATCCCATCGTGCACGCGTCAACTGACTCGATGCGCTGCCCCCTCTTTCCTCCTTTTCTCCCTCCCGCTTCCTCCTTTTCTCCCTCCTCCGCTCTCCCTTCTTCCTCGTCCATCTCTCCCTCCTTCTCCCTCGCTCCTCCTCTCCCCTCTTTCGTCATCTATCTCTACCTCTCTCCTTCCTCCCTCCTTTCTGCCTCCTCCTTCCTCCCTTTCTCCCTCCTCCACGCAGCACCTCACTTCTCCCGCCTCTTTCGTCCTCTCTTTCTCCCTCCACATGTCGACTCGCTACTCCCTCTGTACTCCTCCCTTTCTTTCTCCCTCCTCCTTCCTCCCTTCTTCATCCATCTCTCCCTCCTCCCTTTCTCCCTCCTCCTTCCTCCCTCTCTCTCCATCCATCTCTCCTTCTTCTAGTTGCCATCCGTTCCAAATTACAATCTCAATTTGGCATTTGCAGTTTTTTTTTGCCTACTCCTTTCAGAATGTTGTTTCCACAATTCGATTTGCTCGTCATTGCCCGCTGGAGTGTTGCATAGCCGAGGGGGATTAGAGGAGAGAGTGATGGATCTGGACGAGGGGAGGGTTTTCCTTCGAGGGGCTGACCACCATTTTCTGTTGTGGCCTCTCGGTGACGCAGGTGACAGCGGCGGCCGCTCTGCCGAAGCAGCTCATTGACTACATGAAGAGAGAGAGGGAGAGATGACAAGGAGGGAGGGCTGACCGCCAGTAACAGATACAGATCTCAGGGCTCGATCCCTAGACCTTACCTCACCCGTGTACAGTACCAAGTCGACCCTGTGTGTTTTGAACCCATGACCTTTGTTTCGGTAGCTGAATGTTGTCTGTCATAGGTCTGTGTAGCTGTCATAGGTCTGTGTAGCTGTAGGGGTCATAGCTGTATAGGGGTCATAGCTGCTACAGTCCTGAAAGGTCAAGGTCGTAGCTGCTACAGTCCCGGAAGGCTAAGTCCACAGACTTCCAGAAGGTCGGAAGTGGCCTTTCGAGAGTTTTGCACGTTAGGCCAGAGGCAAGCGGACAAGTAGGCAGTCCAACTTTGTCGAGTCAGCAAGTACCATGTGGGACTGTGTGCACCATGGGCCCGGTGGAAAGGAGCAGACCAGCGACCTGCAGAAGTATAAATCAAGAGGCAGCGATCATTCGTTCATTCATTCTGCGTGAGCCATGCGGAAGCGCTGCCCTAGCGCCTTGTGCGAGGTGGTCTGCAGATGCCCGAAGTCGAATTGGGCTGAGAAGAAGATAGAGCAGCCATCGCTGCTTGTAGTTCGTGGTAGCCAGCGGTCATAGCTGCCATAGCTAGTGATAGGTAGTAGTGAGGATGTGTGTGTGTGTGTGTGATACAGAGTGAACGTGCGTGGGATATCCAGGGAGATCCAGAGTCTAGTGTATGTGAACAGTTGCTGGGAATACTGAGTCAGGGAGTGAAGTGTGGCACTCAGGGATAGCCAATTCGCAGTGAGTTTGTATGTGAACTGTGTTCTCGGCTTGAATATCTCTGAGCTTTGTGTGGGCGCCTAGCGCCAGTGTGGATTGCCATCTGTTTGCATACATCCTGTACGAGAAAGAAGACGAGTCTGATTTCAATGTACTCAAAATAGAGCAAACTTAACGCATTCGGATTTTCTTTGTTCACTGTCCAGACTCAAGTTCCAGAAATAGTCAACTGCATTCCATCAGAAAAGTTTTTCTTAGCTGCTGGACCGGAGCAGAATATGCAGCATCAATACAAACTAGTTCTTTTGGAGTGTTATTTTCGTGTTGTTCAGTCCTTCACAAGTCAGTAAAGAGAGGCCATGGCCAGAGGAAAATGCCAAGCGGACAATTCTCTCTTTCGTGGCCTGCAAAACAATGTCACCAGCCTAAGACCGCAGAGTTGTGAAACATGATCTCACAATTACCTCTTTAGGATGTGCACAGAGATGGAGCAAAGAACAAGAGTGTTTCAAAAATGAGGAAAGAGGCCACAAACAATGGCACATGTAAGCAAGCCATGAACGCAGTCGCAGCGAGTGAGAGCGGATGCATAGAACTAGACTGTTGACCGGGAGTGACACATACTTGGCGGCAAGGGCAGAATCATCAAGGCCCTCCAATTCTTCTGGCCGAAGAGTGATATCGATTCTGTCTGCCTTCTGGCCCTTCATTAGATCCACCTATCACAACCAAACACAGCCAACACAAACAGAAGCCAACAAACAAAACATGGCAAAGTTAGATCAACCTGTGCCCAACAAACCCGGGTTGCCCAAGGATTCTGCAATCAAACAAAAAAGCGTCTCCTGCACACACACACACACACACACGCATCTCTTGCATTTCGATCTGTTCACTTGTCATATATGTGCTGCTGCTGTGTACATTAAACTTGAATTCCCTATCTGCTGTTCTGGAATTACTCCGTATGTTAACTTCGAATTTCTGTGCAAGTCCACTGTGTGCATAGAGTGGGATTCACAGAGAGGTGATAGAAAAGGAATGAGGGTGAAAGAGGCACAAATGACACTTCTTTCATCCTTTGGAAGAACAAAACAAACTTACCCAGTCGGAGGTGCAACTGGGTTGTGCCATAAGCGCATCCGCATGAACTCTGACAGGACTGGTTTTAGTTTTGCCGACCTTGAGGGGGCAGTACACATGCTTTGCAAGTTGCGACTAGATAGTGGCACGAGGCCAGGCATTTGGCAATATGTCTCAGTTCAGAATGGTCTCGCGCAAGTTCTTCAGACAGGCCAAGTGCCTCAACCGTACGGCCAAATGGATTGGCTACACCATTCGCAACTGACACATACGGCCTGTCTGAACGGCTTGGCTAGACCATTCGAAACTGAAACATACGGCCGCACACGGTTCACGTAAGGGTCCAAGCCACAAGCAGCTCCACATGCCCGGTCAAACATCCATCACCGTTACATAGCATTCCGAAAGGAAAAAGAAGCAAAAGCTTCGTCGTAACACCATCCTTGGTGCTTCCCTTTCTAAGAAGTGCCATACTAACCACCGGGCCTACGTCAGCTGGTACACCCCACAAATTGCTGAAATGCAGACCCAAGTTCGAATCCAGATGCAATCAGATAAACAGAGCAATATAATTCTGAATACCTGGAGCCGGTCAGCTCAACGAAGAAGTGTTGTCACACTACACGTGTGTAAATGGCCTTCGTATGAAAAGGGTGTATCGCGTCATTAGTTGATGGATTGCAACACTCATTTTGGCCAAAGGCCTTCATTCATCATGGGCCTCATTTCATACCACACAATCACCAAGACACTGCCCTTATCATGATTGACCCAACATGAAAACCACACAAACAAACAAGCCGTTACAATCACCAAATAGGAAAATGACAGCTGTGACAGCGTTCATCATGATTAACCCAACATGAAAACCACACAAACAAACAGACCGTCACAATTACCAAAAATAGGAAAACGACAGCTTCGACAGCAGTACCACGCGCTCTACAAACCACAAATAATGAACACTAAGATCCCTACCGATGACGTGGTGCGAACCAACGAACGAACCATTCGCTCTCGTTTTCAGAACTGAAATTCTTGAAGTGAGTTTTTTTGTCCTGCTCAGGCCTTACTTACGAAGTTAGTCATGACAGGTGGGCGAGGACCATGAAACAAGCAAATACTGTTCATTATAAGACACACCGGGTGACAAGGAACACCAAAGCAATGAGCAGACACTAAGTGGCGAGCACAACTCATCCTGTCTCTTACCTTGCGCAAAGTACCAGCCTTGTCGGCACCAGGGACGACATATCTGAATTCCATCACAGGAAAAAAAAAAAAAAGCAAACAAAGAGAAAAACAGAGCATACACGAATGTCAACAACTCTCCGTGAGACAGACGTCTTCGTTTTTTTCATTCCCTGTCTACTCAACACCTCTCCTCCTCCTCCATCCCACCTGAAGCAACCACTATTTCCACTATTTGCCCAGTCGCCAAACCTTGCAGAACTCCAAGAGACAATTGAGGCGGGGCTTTGGCAGACTTCACCCCCAACTCAAGGGTCTTCTCAAGTTTCTTTTTTTTTTTTTTTGGGTCTTCTAAATTAGTAAATTTTTTAATTTTTTTTAAGCTCTTCTAATATCTGCTTTCTTTCAATATACAGTTATGACGATGCCAACAGTTCGGACAGCAATATCATCGTGTGTGATCCCATAGACTGTATCTCCGATTCAGAAACCGGATCGGACACTCAGCCATTTGGAATGCTGAATAATCACACCCTCCAGACCAAGTATTTGGGCGTGCACCCCACACTCCAACCCAAAACACTTTTCACAATCGGAGATGGTCAGATTGAACCCCTATAGCTTGACACCTTTGGAGCCAACACTTCTGAACATATTAACCCTTCTACGCCCACTCATAAACACACAAGTTTGAAAAACAAATATGAGACGCTTATGAACATATTCCCCGTCTACCCACCCCTCGTAAACACAAAAGCTTCAGAAACAAATTAAGAAAAAGCTATGGGGTATGTGCACTCTCATGCTGAATGTTAACACCGCCCCCGCTCAAAAAAAAAACACAGGCCTTGAAAACACCCTGCCTCTCTCCTATCCTGCTTTTTCCAGTGCCCACCGACATGGATCTCATAAATTTGCTCTTTCCAGTGCCCACCAACATGGATCTCATAAATTTCACTACGCCAGACAAAAAAAGCAACAACTGCAAAGCAACAACTGCAAAGTGTGCACTTGCTTTTTGACCTAATTACCATGGTAATTCTTTACCAAAAAAAGTTCTTTCAAGTTCCGTAAGGATGTCTGAACAATCAGGGGTCCTTCGGCCAGACGAATCGAAGCGTGTGTGTTCCTTAGTGTAGTGCATGTTTTGACTTGCCGGTGGAATAGGAACCAGACTGACGCTCCCCAGAATAGAAGGAGCTATGACCATAAGGTCCTATTGTTAAAAAAAAAAAAAAAAAAAAAAAGGGTGTCTGAACAAGAAGTCAATAAGTAACTGTCTTTTATTTCTCTTTTTTCCTTCTGTGGGTAAGTTCAGAGGGAAGAGGGGAGGGAGGAGGGGTATCTAGCCAGCGAAGTGATTCGTTCACAATGATTTTTTTTTTTAAATACCATCAGCCAAAAGTTACGTCTGCTGCAATTTGGGCAACATACATTCTTTTTTTTTTCCCGGTTGAAACGGCTTGCAGACATTCCATCAGTCAAAAACTGTGAAGGTGAAAAGATACTTAGGTGTGGCGCAACGTTCCGTCTGTCAAAAACTGCGAAGGCCAAAAGATAATAAGGTGTGGTGCGAAATACAACCGAGGCAACAACTATGAATGCAACAACATACTTGGGAGTGTGATACAAGGGAGGCAATAAGCGAGCAAATGGAGGGGTACATACGTATGTGTCGTGCCAAGAAGCGTCCCAGAAGCAAGTCTGTCCTCTTTCTCCTCCAACACCTGCAATTAATTTTCAGTCCAGTTTCCGGCCACAATCAACACAATCAGTGAGCTACATCCGTTTCACCAAATTATCTCCCTACTGTCTTCACCCGAATAGAACACCTGGTCATTACAGCCGTACAACTTCCATTCTAGATACAGTGATAATGACCGGGCCTTCTATCTGGGTGAAGACGGTGCTCTATCGACAAACATGCTGAATCCCGTTACTCTGAAATTGACTGATTCTATGCCTCTATGTATCAAGGCTGTTTGACCTCAACAGGGCTCCGCTTTTTTGTTCACTTGTCGTTGTACAGGGATCTTTAATACTCGAGATTGCGTCTAGTCTGGTGGCTTACAAGGGTGTCAGTTTTAATTTTTATTTTCCGGGTAATGAGGAATTTTGAAGTGGCGCTTCTGTCATTCTGCACATCATTTCTGTTTGCAGATTTTTATCACTTTTTTGAATTATTTTCTTCCCCTCAGCTGCCCGGGACTTTGACCACAACCTCGACCATACCTGCCCTGGTCAGGCCACCGGGACAGCCAAAGGCAGCCTCTTGCCCAGACCTGGTCATGCCGAGCCGCCTGAGCAGCCAGAGGCAGCCTAGGCAACCCAGCCAGCACCACATAACAAGCACCCAGTCGGCAAAACACCAGGGAGAGGGAGTGCGCACAAACACCTACAGACATACATGCACCCCCAATGCCACAGTTGACTGGGAGGGCAGGTCCACAATTCATGAAGAATACCAGAGGCAAACTTAACGTCAAACTCACATACAAGGTCAAAAGAAAGATTCTGAATGCAAGTCCGGCACAGACTGTGCACAATAGATAGATGGATAGAGATAGATAGAGAGATAGAGATAGAGAGAGAGAGAGAGAGAGAACGGACATAGTATGCAGCCTCTACAACTTCGCCAGTCTCTCGGGATGTCCACAATGGACTGGTATCAGAAGGGCGCTGCCAGACAAAACATCATCGGGAAAGAAATATAAGACGTGCCATTCACAAGGGCATGCCAGAAAAACAGAAGATGACTGCTTCTCAGCATTAGGTCAAGGGATCAAGCCCTTGTCAGAACCGTAACACCCCGTCACGACTATCACAAAACCTTACCCCTGTCGTAATACAAAATGGCCACGCTCCGCCCCTCTACAAATTTGCCCTGGTACAAATCATGCACGTGGTCGACTGCAAATCTAGATGCAGCGTCCATCAGCCTTCATTGATTCCACATGACCAAATGGTTTTTCTCAAAGGGCATACCCGAGTAGAGTAGAATCAGATAACACCAGCAGCGGCACGCATGACAACTGTCATAAAATCCAAGGCATCTCATGAAATTCATGATCACATTCCCTCCTGATGTGCAGTACACCAACCGAAGGCATACAAGAACAAAGTTAAAAAAACACAGATCAAGAAGAAGGGGCAGGAGCCGAGAAGGACAAGCAACAAGACAGCACAGTCAAAGTCATAATAATATTGTGTAAAGTGCAGCGCTCCACACTCACATGGTAGAGTGGTTTCTCTGTCTCCTTCCTTTGTGTTTTACGCAAATCGATCACATCAGGCGTCTCTGCTCCTGCCAGCGTCCTGGGACAACAGAAAACAGGGATGAAACACAAAAACAACATGGTCAAAATAAAATTCGAACGACCCAAGATCACTGCCATATGAGAGGGAGGAGGGAGTTACTGCCAGAGCAGGTGGCATGACAACCAAACTAAGTTGGCCAGCATTGCATTGCTATAATGACAAAAGCAACACAAGGGATAAAAAATGAGATGGTGAAGGACTCACGTGGCGACTGTATCGACTGATGCAATGCCATCCTCCAGTACGTCTTCGTCAGAGAAGTCCTCTTCCTCCTCTTCACTTTCCTCCTCTTCCTCCTCTAAATCTCCCCAATGCTTCGCCTTATCCACTTGCTCTTCCTGCAATTCCATCAGACACGCGATTCTTTCAGGCACAGTTAAACGGCAAAACTCACCATAGGTAGCAAGCATATTAAACGCTGAAGGCCTGCCTAACAAGACCTAAAAGAAGAAAAAGAGACCACCTTCGCTGCACTGCCATTTTCTCTCTTTCTTTTCAATTGTCGGGTAGCCCCCTCACATCATCACATCCATCAGATAACATCATGATTAGAACTTAGAATATGTTCAGAAATGTCCTGTAACAGTCTACATGTGTAGTACTGCGTGCTATCCAGTCCAATGACCTGGGTAACACCTCTGCCATTCTACCTGGAGAAGAGGAGGATGCAAATGCCACGTACGACGCAGCTAAGCTGTGCCGGCAACCGGCCAGATGGACCGGGCTGATTGAACCCCCAGTGGTCCAACCGAAATTCCGGTTGGGCCCAAAAGTGGGTCATTTTTTATTTTTTTTTGAAAACACGGTTGGACTGCACTCACCGAGATCTCCCCAAATCAGCAAAGAAAACTTTCAACAGAAGTTTCGTTTGGGGGGGGGGGGGGGGGGGGGGGGGTTTTTTGGGGGGGGGGGGGGGGGGGGGGGGGGGGGGGGGGGGGGGGGGGGAGAGTTATTTCAGGGGTTGGGGGTCGGGAGGGTTATAGTGAGGGTGTTATGGCACGAGCTTCAGCCGACATTGACATCAATGTACCTGGATTTCTGCAAACGTTAACCTTCCGCCCAAAAACTCTGAAAAGGGGGCTGGGGGTGTTAGTGGCAGGGTACGGATGGTACTTCCCACCCAAAAACTTCGAAAAGGGCGGCCTATCTGGGCTGCTGATCTCTCGAGATCAGTGGTCCAGATAGGCCGCCCTTTCCAATCCTTTTCAATCCCTTTTGGCAGACCTCCCAGACCCGGTCTGATTCTTTTTGGGGCCAGGAGACCTCCACAGCCTGCGTGGAGGCCTCCTGGCCCGAAAAGAAAAATGGTAAGACCCCCCCAATTGGATGCGCTACAGCCCCTTGGTGCTTGCCACTGCTGTCTGGTCCAAGTTGCCCTCCATACTGGTAGAGTGACGGTCTTGAGTGCTGGTCACACTGAGGTAGGATAGTAGGGATAAGGGGTTCGCTGGGAGTATTTAACGTGGGGAAGGGTAGGGAAGGTGGCCTATCCTGTCAGGAAAACCACCAGCTTCTGCTGCCACTGATCACCGTGGGTCAAGTTCTTCGCCTCTACAACGTCCTGGGCTTCAAAAAAAAAAAAAAAAAAAAAAAAAAAAAAAAAAAAAAAAGAAGAAGAAGAAGAAGAAGAAGAAGAAGAAGATGCGCTATGGGCAACGGGGGGGGAACCAGCCAGGTCGCCCGGCCAGTAGGACCAGTTCAGTTCCGGTTGAGGGAGGGGCCCCCGGTCCTACCGGGTTTACAGCCTAGGAACGCAGGGAATTCCACAATGCTCATCCTTCAGACTTTAGACTATCACCGCATACATAACAGAGTTGCATTTCCCCTATATCATGAAATTTCAGATGCTCTAGACTTCCTTCCTCACATTCTATTCCTTAAATCGTCGGGGAGCTAGCCACCATAAATGAAGCAGAGACTGAACCAGCCTGATTTGTGCTCTCCCTGCCTCATCCCCCCTCCCAACCCCCTTCCTTGAAGCGTCGTTGAGAAGCTGGCCACGATAAATGAAGCAGAGACTGAACCAGCCTGATTTGTGCTCTCCCTGCCTCATCCCCCCTCCCAAACCCCCCCCCACCCCACCCTGTGGGGAAGAATCCCAACAGTAATTATCACACAATTTACCCAGCCCATGTGCCTGAATGGTAGACCCAAGAGCTGATGATAAACCGACCTTAGTTTGAATCCAGATGGAATCAGATAAGTTGAAAGACTCCGAATTTACTTGGGATAGGTCAGTTTGATGATGGTATATCAAGGCTGCCGCCGTTTGATAAAATACATAAAAACAGTGTCGCATACCCTGGCGGTCGGCGCCCCTCGACAGGCCGGCTGACGATCAGCCGACTGGTTGGCTGGTCATCACCCACCAGTTGGGGGTCGTCGGCATTTTGCAAAAGTTTCACCTGCAGGAGTCCATAACCCCCAATAACCCCA